CCGAACCTGGCCACTGCCACTGGTGGTGCCGTTGTGGTGGTGCACATGGAGCGAGTGCTTCCATCTTTGCTTCAGTGCCAATTAAACAGCTGCGCGATGATCGCTCGCTAATTGCCACACGTGCGGCGGGGGGTTAGGTGAAAGGAGGGGCCCCAGCAACTGACGTTGTGATTTACATTTCTATTTAATTATCGAACACTTTGCCTAATGAGAACGCGCCACCCATAAACATTCACAGCCGCCCATGCCTTGTGGTGGAGTGGCGCGGCCCTCTCGCCGGAATCCACTTCTGACTTCTGGGTGTGTGAGTTCTGGTCTTTATTTATAATTTTTATTGCACATAATGCTTAAATGGTCTTTGAGAGTTGCATTTTCTTTTGTACTCCTCGCTGAATTGGGTTAATAGCCAGTGTGTGAGTGTTTTCCTATGGAACATTCTATTGTTTGACTTTGGTTTTATTGCGCGAAATAAAAACTTTTAATTTCTTTTACTTTCGACTCAAATGTTGGAATGAGTGGTATGCCATAAACAAAAAGTTCTTGCCTACTTTAACTTCATTTTAAAAATTTATCCTATTATTGTTTTAAAACATAATAAATGTATGTATGTATATGCATCGTAGTTGTTAAAATTAATTGAATTAAATGCAAAAAATGAATTTATCGATTGCGGTAGGCTGAAACATTATTGAGAGCTTTTGGTAATAGGGACTTTGCTGCAATTATTGGCTCTAATTAAACAAAAGGACCAAAATAAATTCATTTAATTAATCGAGTGTGTTCGACTGAAAATAATTGAATACATTTCCATTCCTATCCATCAAGTGCAGACCCTTAGAATTATGGAATTTATGTCTTCAATTAACTTCAATGAACTACAACCTATTATTTTTATAAATGAAAAAATGTATCTGATTGTTTTTTTCGAAATTATTTGTTGACAAACTATTATTAGAAACCTTCTACAGTAGTTGAGTAAACGAAATTAAATTAATCACATTTTGATGACATATCATTTGAGGAATTTTCACGGATACGGATACGGGCGGCTGTAACCCACAGATACACACTGCACCCACCGAATGCATTTGATTCTCGGTATAAATAACATAAGTTGGCTGGCACAGTAAATGAGCATTAATTTAATGCAGAAAGTTGACAGTTTCAGGCGGATAGTACAACAAAATGGCTCAAAATAAAATCAAATTCAAAATGTATACTTTTCTTCAGATGGTGTGTGTAATCAAATTAGTCACACGGGCAGTGCCAACAATAGGAAACCAACACAGCCAGTGGCCTAAGAGCTGACTAATGCACACAATTAATACACGGGCCCATGGGATGCCGAAGGGAAGATTCTGCGGCGTAGCTGGTAGCTACTTAGAGATGACAATCGGTGACTGAAAGGCGGCATAAAGTGCACAAAACGCCAGGCATAAATCACAACGCCCGTACTCGCCAGTGTATGTGCGGCAAATAAAATATGTTAATTAAATAAAGATGCGCACACTCATTGGATGCCAATGGGCGGGTAGGGGACATGGGAAACATGGGAAAGTGCAGACGCAGACGCGAAAACTGTGACGCCGGCCAGCCAAGCGATATCTTGGCCACAACGGACACGCCTTGTGAGAGACGGACGGAGACGGCTACGGCGACAATGCTGCATTTTTGGCAAAATCCAACAACACCAAAGCCAGAACCAAGCCAAAGCCCAACCCAACCCGGTCCAACCCATGCAGACCAACACGAAAGGCGTCCAAGGAATCGCATGCATTATTCACGGCAAGAAATGTCGAAATAAAACGCCAAGTTTTGCAATACGAGGCATTACATGTGCTCATCATTAAAAGAAACAAACACACAAATTCATACACTGGAGGAAAATAATTATTATTTAATTATATACTTTCGATGCACTAGAGTCAGACCTTCTTCATTTCATAATATAAACTTTTCTGAACATCACAAAGGTTTAAGTTTAGGTACGTTGTTTTTGGAAGCCATTTCTCACTGTGTATTTTATATGCATCGGCCTGAAAAGGTCTGGCCCATAGTCGTACTTTGCCACAATCGTCCACGTTTCATCTATTGTTCGTTTATGCCATTTTGTTGGTGTTGTACTCGTTGCTGTGGCATAAGTTCCACTTCAAAAAACATAAAATACGCGCCAGATATATTTTTAGCAATCCGCTCATTTGATTTACGATTTCATTAAATCAGCTAATGGACATACCTCTCGCTCCTATATGTACATCTATGTATAAACAAGAGCAAGAATAAAGCGAAACCTGTGCGATCATCTCATCTCTCATACGCCGTGTAGGCCGCAACTACTGGCTCCTGTTGCTGTTGTTGGGGATGCTGCGCTTTATCGCCCCAGTATATGGCCGACCACCTGTCGTTGTCTGTAGCAGCAAACAACTCAGCCGCTGCCTTTGTCCCTGTCTGATTGAATTTGGCATATCTCTGATGCGGCAGACACTTCCCAATTATGCCCACCAGTGTTGCATTCAACAAAGTTGCAGCTGACAATAAACAGATTTATCTATAGGGCTGGCTATAGGATTTTGTATGAACAATGGGAAAGGCATGTTAAGTGAAGCACTAAGCTTAATTAGAACGTTACCAAGTCCTAGTGCCTAGAATTCAATCAAATTCTAAGATATTTTGCCATCAAAACAGTTATCTGTTGCTCTCACAATAATACATTCAGAATGCGAAGCTAAAAGGATTTTCCATCCAGATTATAATTAATGAATTTGTGGTTAAATCGAAGGACGTAAATGTAAAACATCAATTTTGAGTCCGGCAAATCGGATTACAGTGCGCTCGGCCATGTATTTTACAATTTTGGTCAAAGCCATCAACATTTTATATTCGAAAAGTGTTTTTTTCTTTTTATGTATTCAAATGTTTGCTGCCTGATAAATATTCAACAAATTTTATATATCTTATTCATTTCCACATATTTTACGGCTGCAAGCGGTAGGGATTTGTCACAGCCACTGCCTATATGGTGGCTCTTCGCAGGGAATTTATTCAAATTATTTTTTATGAACAGCGAAAGCATCGACATCGGAATCGGCAGCCGCATCTGAAGTGATGTTCGCGGCACACGTGCCACAGTTGACGAAAATAAATTCCTGGCTCGGCAACCAGAAATTAATAGTTCATCAAGCTGAGGCAAACGCTGACAGATAAATGACGCGACCGTCAGACCACCGCCCGTTGAGACGCCAGACGCGAAGGCAAAACAAACCATTCGCCACAAGGCGCTACATATACATACTCATCTTCCCATACATACTTAGTATTTTCCAAAAAGGCGTTTCTGCCCATTGACATTCCTCGGATGCAGCCCCCCGAGACGCGCCTTCCCTTCCGCGACTACATTTAGCATGTTCTTCAGAATACAAAATCGAGAAAAGAAACAAAATCTGGTCGGATTCTTTGTTTGTTTGCTGCTCTCCGCCAGACATGAATAATTACATTTCTAACATAACTTGACTTTCACTTTATCAGCAATAGATCAACGCCGCGTCCTCCATAAGTCATACTCGTATGTGCACACCAGATCGTTCACTTTGGTCTTTGGTTGCTTTTTTCTCGATTTCTCGTTGCTTTTGACGCAACGAGGGAAGTATTACCGCATACTCGTAATACATATATTAAAAAAGACATCCACGTAAAGGCCAAATAAAAGTATAATAAATAAATAAGAAATTCCTATACCAATTTTACGGTGACGTCAATTGTCTATTATTTCGCTTTAGTCATAAATTTGACTGGCAGCCATTGGTCACCAAAGGAATCGCCATCATTGGACGAGGGTGGCCGGGACAGGAGCCAAACCACAAACTGGTAGGCTGATCGTAAAACGCGGAAGACTTTGTGTTATATTGTGAAAAATAATTTGTATTCAACAGATGATGAAGAAGCATTTCTTCTCAAATATTATTTATTTAGTTGTTTTCGTTTAAATATTTCATTTTAATTAAACTTTTGTTTATTGCTAGGGAACACAAACATAAACTCATAACTATACAACTTGTAACAAAGGAGGCTCTTCCTAGAAGTACAGCATTTATCTCTTGTTTAGTAAACTATAAATAAGCAACTTGTATAATATTATATTTCTAGATATTTGCTTTTATTACTTTACCAATGCCAATATGTACATTTTTTCAATGCAATCAGAAAAGTTTCTACCTTTATGGCCAACACATTCCCAAAAATGGCCAACATTTTCCTAGAACTTTTCGACTCGATTTGGAATTTAAAGGTTTTTTCGGAGAAAAAAATTCTTTGGAAATTGGGATTCCATTAAGTTCCATTGAAATGAAAGCAGAAAAAAAATGATACACAAATTCCATCAATTGGAAACGCAACTACCCCATATGACGAGGCCCAACGTCATCGAACTTTGGGCATCGCTTTTTGGGTGTTAGTTGTCGATGCTGCTGCTGTTGTTGTTTTTTGTGTTTGTTGATTGTTGCCGGTGCAGAGTACACGGATTTTTGTTTTTTTGACAGCACGTTTCCGCCGCGTGAATGTATCAGAAAGCTCAGTGCCAATAGCACACGAGTGTGTGGGAGGGTGTCGCTTTCGAGTGCGTGCTGGGCTGGCCTGTGTATGTGAGTAAGTGAGTGTTTTTGTGTCAGCACATATTTTAGATGCTTGTTAATACCAGCCATAAATAAATTGGGACGTTCATCAAAGGTGGTCAACGAGGAGGAGGGACACTCTCAAGCGGAGTCATCCCCATAACAATTTGGGCGCGAATAAACGAGGGGATAATCGAGCTTTGCGTTTTTATAGCTTATTTTACTTATTTGTTAGTTAGTCGGGGTTAGTATTCAATAAAAAACAAACAACATAAAACAGAAAAGGGAAACTTCAATCAAATCAAAAGTCCAAATCAAACTCGAGGAAGGTGTGTCTGGTAGGGGGGGCAGGACTGCGAAAAAAATAGAGGTTTATTGGCTTTTCGGGCTTACCGATCAATCGGAGGCTGCATTTGCGTTCGGCGCCGCGTCCCACGGTGCGTATGATGAATGTTGATTGTCGTCGTCGTCGTTGCCGTCGCTTTCACTTTTTCGATGTCAGCTCCTTGAGCAGGCTGGCTCACTAATCTGTGGCAATGGTTTTTTCCTTTTTTTGTGGCTTTTTTTTTTTTGTTTTATTTGTGCCCTCTATGTACGTGAGCGGTATACATAGGTGTCAGCATGTAGGGGTGTTTGTACATAGACGTTGCTCACTGACTGTGACATTGAATCGCTATTCCACTGCCGATTGCTGTTGTTGTTGCTAATGCTCTCCTTGATTTTTTTTCTTTATTCCACGCACACGGACACAAAAGGTGGGCCAGAGGCATCTTTTTGTTTGCCTTAGTTTCACATGCTTTCCATCTTTATGTACACACACAAGTCACGCCTTGTTCTTCTACTCTACTATCGTTTATACCTTTTCAAGGAGTATTGTTTTAAAAAAAAGTCGTGTTTTACTTTAGTTTAGTTTAGGGTTGATTCATTGTAAAGAGGACGGCTTGACACGCTTTTATTTCGATTACATCTAAACATCATACTGCGAATACAAAATCAATATTGTTTCAGAAACTGCAAAACTTTTGGATATTATTTGTATGTATTATTGTACAGAGTCCCCCCACATTTTCTTGCCCTTTAAAGTTATTTGGAATCTAATTGGCTTTATTGTATCTTTTTGGTATTCTGCCACTCTGTGTTGCACTTCCCAATATTGCCGCTGGTTTTGGTTTTATGTAATTGCTCTGCTTCATTAAACAGTTTATGAATTTCTGTGTGCGTCTGTCTTTTCTGAGTTTCGACTTCAGTGCATTCTTCGTTATTACAATATAAAACACATTTTTATACTTGGCCAACAACTTTGGCCATCTGCAATAACAAGACCGAAGAAGCAAAACGAAAAATAATAATAAAAAAAAGAAAAAGGGAGAAACACTTGCTTCGGGCTTCTCGCTTAGAACAAAAGCAAAAAAAAAAGCTTTTAAGAACTGTGGGCCGTTCTTGGGAAATTACTTAAGTTTTCAATGCGTTTTACTCAATTTGACTTTGGGTCGTTGCCGACTTGCCTCCTATCTGCCCCAGCCCTTTGTATTTTTTTTTGCCTTTCGCCTTGGCTGTTGTCAGAATTGGCGCATTAAGCGCAAAAAGTAAAGCGAGAAAAGGCAGCCAGCCGAAGGGAAACAGGAGCAGGAGCAGAAGCGGAGCCAAAGCCCAGAAGCGCCCTAAAGTGAGCTGCCTGCTAACCGAGTTTGTGCACAAAAAGAAACATTTTCGATGCTTAGGAGATAAGATGTTTTAAATACAACACATACATACTTAACAGGCATACATATACCCCCTTAAGATTGTGGGATTACTTAAGCAAAGGACTAGGATTGATGTGGCATGAAAGTTAAGACTTTGACTTGGAATTGTTTGCTCTTTCTTTAAAGAAACTTAAATGAAAAGCTTGATACTTGATAACCTTATTAAAGCCATTGCTTTTATGGCCTCATTTTTCTGTGTGTAGCCATGTTGTTGGCTGTTATCGCTCGGCCTGTATTAAATAATACGCTTGTATGTATTAGAGGCGGAGCACATAAAGAGAAGTCAAAATAAATCGATAAATTCTACATAGATACACAGCATCAGCACCAGCATCAGCATCAGCATCAGCTTCAGCCCAACAACAAGAGCAATAAACAGCCTACGGTCCACAGCGGCAACATCAGCAACAACAACAACAGAATAAAATGTTTTTCGTTTGCCTCCTTGAATTGTCCTTTCAACGGGCCTCCCAAGCCACCCACACCCACACACCCACATCCATACCACATCCAGCTTCTCATTCATAGGCAGACCGAGTACGAATACGAATTCGAATGCGAATGCCGAGCCTCGTTCGTTTCGCTGATTGTCAGCTTGTGAGTGTGAGTGTTTCTTTGTTTGTGTGAGTGAGAGAGTGAGTGTGTGAGTTTATTCGCACGCCTGAAAGTCTGCCAGTTCGCATTCGCTTCGCCTGTGTGCGTGTATCCGTAACTGTATCTGTATCTGTATCTGTATCTGTGTCTGCTGTTCTGTACTCCACATTTCTGTTTCCACATCTCGCTTCGTTTACTTTGCGAGTAAGCAGGTATGTCCATACATATGTATGTACATATTTTCATCCTTAGATATACAATATGTACATATGTAAGCTTGGGAAGCAACTCCAGCATTTTGTTGTGGGAAAAATCAATTAAAATTTAACGCACGTACCCCAGAACCTGCAATTCTGTCAGGATTTCTTTCACTCATAAAAATACGATTCCCATTCGAATGGCAATCCAGCCACCTAGCAGGCAATTTAATTTGTCTAATTTGAATTTTAATTAAAAAGTTTTACGGGTTCAATAACTTGCAAAGTAACCCAAAAAAGGGAGACGACACCGACGAAAAGGCGAACCAAAACAAGTAAACAACAATATTTCTAGGGCTTAAATGAAATTCTGGCCAAGTTGTCTGCTCATTTCCATGTAACAGCTGTCTGTCACAGCCACTTTTTGAAGAGGAGGTGTTTTAAAATTGTTATTCACTTTGTTGCTAAATTAAGCAAAACACTTCGGTGCGTGGGCGGGTATTTTGTGTGTGACTTTTTAATTGCTTTAAATGTCAATGAAACTGAACCAGGTGAACACGGTACAGGTTGGGGGGTAGAGTGCTTGCCTGGAAATTAAAACTTTTCCTGGCTTTTGTGGAATTAAAGGATCTCTTGAATACATTTTGGCCGTGTTCTTAAGAATTTTCCGTTCCTCATTTCGGGGTTTGTTTATCAAAAGATATTAAAGAGCACATTCCTTTAATGTAAACACACAAATCCTTCATATTTTTCAAGATTCCCAGACAAGTCTCTAGAACGACAGGCACTTTCAATCTGGCAATTGATGGCCTCTAATTACACACGCGATATGGACGATGCATATCCGTATAGATTTTTGGTTGGATTTGGCTTTGGGTTTGCTTTTCCCATTTGGCTTTTACAGCGCCGACAATGTAAATAAACAACCTGCAAAATTCCCATTCCTTTGCCAATAACTGAATATTCTATGATACGGGGACTGCCCCAAAAAGGCACACCCAACACCCACCCATCCATCCCATCCCACAATCATAAACCCAAACAGCCAAGCACACACCACCTCACTTATGGATGTTCGCTTGATTTATTTTCAATCTTTGTAGGATGTTGTAAAATATTTTAACGACAGCAATTTCGCCAGCTCGCGTATGATATTAAAATTTCCTATTGGCCATAATATAAAAATTGGAATGGCATTTCTATTTATTTTCTCGTTCATTAATATGCATCTCTGTATCTTTTTATAGAAATTTAATTTTATTCCTGTATTTATTAATAAATGCCAGATTTTGATTAACTTTTTAGCACCATGTTCCCAGCAGGTTTTCATAAATCCCCAACAAATTCTCAGAAAAAGCTATGCTGCCACTATCCCAGATGCAGCTGTCCGTTTCCATGGTAATACCACTGGAGAGGAGCTTTATTATTACCCCCCACTGCAATTCTAAAATTAGATTGAGCTGCTCAGGTCTACATATATTCACAAGCTCAATAGGGTTGAGTAGAGTTATGAGGGATGCCCGACAACATTAGTCCACAAGGTTTGCCCTATAAACCCTTCCTCTGACCAGAGAGGCATTAAAATACAGCAAACGAATTGCGATGACATTCAACTTTCGGTCGGTTTGCCACTGGTTAAGTATCGTTAAATGGGTGAAGGTCATAGTTGCACTGCCTGCCAGCACTGGGCGGCCTCCATCATCGGCACTGGCAACCAAAGGAGGAGCATGGAGGATGTGGAGGCCATTAACAATATGCGGCGGCCTCAAAATCAGCAACTGCAGCGAAGGTAAGCAAACAGTCCAACAACAAATACACACAGTAACACAGGACAGATACAGATACATGGGAGCCCCCGCAAATACAAATACAAATATGTATGTATGGGGGGAAAAACACACATACGCAGTGTGGGCCAGGCAACCAAAACAACCCCCAGCCCCTCGAGTGCCTCCCCAGTGGTCATGTTTACTCAAACTCAAACACAAATGCTTTCATAATTTCCCATACACACACACACTTTCCAGAGACACACACACACACCATATACACACATCGCGATGATACAAATACATGCATAAATCTTCAGCTGGCGCCATTTCACTCCTTTGGCCAACTATAAAAGCCAGCCAGCGTCTGCTGGCAACCTCCTTCAGTAACATCAATGTTTTGCTTGTTGTCGCTTGCTTTTCCATTCCAAGCAGTCCCCATGCCCCCCAAACTAACCACCCCTCACCCACCTCCCTCCACCCTCTCAACCCCCTGGGCCCAGCATCCCTCCAATTACTCACACATTCAACGAGCACTCATTTAAACGAAGCACCCAACGCTTACAGCACAACGTCAAAGTTAACTCGCTGCTGGAGCGCCCGCTGGGGGCGGGGGAGTGGCAAGCAGGAGCAAGGGAGATAGAGAGAAGGGAATAGAAAGAGAGGGAGAAAGCACTCGTGCCGCACCGCCATGTTCGTGCGTTCGTGTGGCATCCGTTCGTGCGTCCCGCATCGCGCATCCTTTTTCCACTCAACTCTCTGGCAACAATGCTAGCTGATGATGTACAATGGGCAGGAGATACTAATTCACAAAATCAAATATCAAAAGGGAAGGGAACTGAAGCTTTAAAAGACGGGAATGAAAATATTATGAAACTGGAGAAACCTTAAAAATATTTAAGAAGCAAGGGCAGTGAATAATTTTTCTAGTAAGTATTTCTTATGAATTAAATGATCATTATATAAATCTATAAATATAATAGGCTTTCTGTGAATTGGTATCAGATTTTATAAAGTCTACATGCCTTAAAGTGTCTGTATTTTTAAAAATTAAAATAAACAATTGTAGAATAATTTTGTATTTTAAAGTCCCAAACAACCCATCTCGTCCCTGTCTACGAGACACCGTGCCTCATTAAGACTTGATTTATATTTCAATTACTTTCGAAACTAGCAACCTTTCAGAACACATGCCCAAACAATGAACACCACTGTACAAGCTTACATTGAAGAGAATACTCCCCCTCGAACAGACAACTCATTATTGGTACATTGTAGTGGCATTATCAGATACGGGTACATTCCATTATAACAATCCGATGTTGTTACAGAATTGACACAGTGTGCAATCGTCCTTTTGCCATTCGAAGCCCCGCCATTCTCCCCAACCATTTCCATCTTTCGCATCGATTCCTTTTCTCTTTGCTGCTTTCTGTTTTTCCTCATTTTTTTTGTGCGAAAATTTACGGTTTTTCCTCTATATGGGTGTATGTGTGTGTGTGTGTGAGTGGATGTGGGGTACTATGTTAAAAGTTTGTGTCCCTATACAGACCCACCCCACCCCCTGGCTTTCAAACTCTGATCCAAGCATCCGCAACTTTCCCCGCGTCCTTACAAACAACGGCAACTTGTTTGTGTGCCTGTACACAAAGGAAAAATCCAATAAAACGGAAATTTTAAAAACAATCTTGAAAAGTATCCTTTTTTTAAGATCTCATATCTCTGTAGGAGGTTTTTGGGGTATAAATAATTTAAAAAATAGGTTTAATGACACAAACCAATCCTAAATGATAGTATAACATAATAATTTGTTTAAAAAATTGGCATTTTCATATGCTATATGTATTTTTCTATCTGCAGGACTTGTGGGTGTGTATGTCCTGTCAAAGTTTTCGTCTACTTTTATTTTTCGCTGTTATTTAATTGTGTTTGTGTTGCTGTTGTTGGAGTGTCTCGTATTTGACTTCTGAGTTTTTGTCGCTGATGCTAAGTTGGTTTCGTGGGTTTCTTGTTTTTGGCATTATTATCGGGCAACTTCGCTGGTTATTTGTGTATTTGATAACTTTCGTTTTAACTGTCAATGAAAGCAATTGAAAGTTGCCAGATTGTTGGCAAGCCGTTGTTCCCCAAACAACACAAAATTTCGTCCTTTAAACCGTATTTTTGGAACTGGCTTTAAGCGAGAGTATTGTATATGTTTCAGGGGCTTAGCTCAGCATCCTCGTTCTTCTGGCCCCAATGCCACCAGGACATTTGTCAAACGTGAAACTGTGTTGGGAATGTCGCTCTGGCAGCCAGCTGGGCGTCCAACTTGCCAAACGGATATATATATCCGTTCATACCACCCAACATGGTAGATTGTATATACACGCAGAGTCACATAATCCCGACGCACACACACACACACACAAACATTACAGGAAAAGGAGAGCGAGCGAGATGCAGAAACGTAACGAAACACAGTTAGCAATTTACTGTATTGTATTATGTATGAATTTTCGTGTGTGGCATTACATCTTCTATGTTTTTTAATATTCCCGTTTCCCGTTATCTCAAAAAAATGGCAGCCCAGAGTCCTTGCCGTGCACTTTATACAGTTATACACACGAATGCACACACAACTCGCAACTTAACAATTCCTCTCGACTTTCGAATTCAACTTTTTCTGTCAAATATTTGGCCAGGAAGGAAAATTTTAAAAATCAATGCGGGAGTAGCCGTTTACTTTTTGATTCTTGCATCTCGTTTATTGGATTATTTGATTTCGTTTGTTACATATACAAGTATTCCCCAACACGAGTCACTGTCACTTTTTCTCGGTTTTAAAGACCACGACGCTGATTCGTACCTTTTGTTGTTCGAAAATTATTGAAATATCATTTTTTATATGTATACAATGTATATACACGCGTTTATTTATTTATACCTATGGATAAGCATCGAATTTTGAACGTTAAAAGTTTAGTTTAGCTTTGCTCTGGCTGGCTCTTGCCATCTACTTGGGTCTATTTAGTGTTGTTGTTGTAGGTAGTGTAGAAAAAATTAAAAACGCGCCGTTGGTATAAAATGTCTTTCAGCTAATGCGATTTTAACGTTTTGCATGCGAACCAACAACTATTTTGGCCAAGTGCGCGCTGCCAAAGCAGAAGCTCTCCTTAGCATCCAACCGAACGACCGACGGATGCCGATGGATGTCGAGAGATGCTCAGATGCGAGATGTTGGATGCCGATATACTCGCACTCAGAGATACTGGCACTCAGAATCAGCGCATCGGGCCATGGATGCTGGGCGCAAGCGAGATGCAGATACAATCGGCTGGCTCCTGTTCAATGTTTTGATGTTGGCGCCTGCGCCATTCGAATATTTTTGGATTTGGGGGCATTGCCAGATCCAAGCTGTACCATCCAAAAAAAAACAGCCACTCACAGGGCATGGTGGCGCGCGTTTTTAAATCATCTTTTCGGAATCTTGCGTTAATTACCCATTTATGACTTAACTGGAAGCCTGAACCCGGCGCGGCAACAATAAGCGTTCATTGCGATCACGTGAAGCACGTGAAGTAGCCCAAGCGGATGCTACAGGCAGACTCTCGTTTCATTGGCCGATTCCCAATAACCAGAAGGTACAGGCGGGTGGTTGGGCAGGCAGACGCTGTCGACGCATGATGATAACGATGGACGTTGAATAACATCAGTTTTTTGAATAACAATTGCAGTGAGGACTCTACTAGCAGTACTATTATAGTTTCTGGTTGGTTAGACTTCAAAAAATTGGAAAATTCTAGCATTTTAGATTAAAGATTAAAAAAGAGTTTTAAAACAGGGAAAAGATTACCCCTTGTAAAGGTAAGTTATTATGAGATATAGTACAATATTCCATTAGAAAGGATATTAAACCACGAATGACAACCATTGACAGGTAGTTGCACCTCATATAAATCAAAAACATCTCAAAACAAACACGCAACTTCCTATTTATGTAGGTTCTACTGTCTACAGAAAAAAACGAAACCAAGAACACCCAAGGCAGCTTGGGTTTTCCTTTATCAGCCGGCGGTCAGGCCGATGGCGGCGGGTCGTTTTGAAATCTCGGACCTGCCGGCGAAGCGCTATAAATACCACAGGTCTCGTGCTAACCACTATCAGAGGCCTAGGAAACGTGCCGGGCAACGTACAGCTAGCACTGGCAGACAGATTTTAAAAATCACGATGACGACGAGCCTGCAGTTCTTGTTTTTCCTTAGCCTGAGTGCGCTAGTCAGTGGCGGAGGTAAATAATCACAGATTGAAGCAAACGATTCTATTGAAATCTAACCCAACTGTACCATCTTAATCATTCCAGAAGCCACACACGATTCTGAGCGGCGTATGCATCCCGTATTCGCTTTAGGAGGAGCCCTTCCAAGTCGGTTCAAGCGGGCCATGCCTCAGATTGTTTTCAATGCACTTAATACGGAGGAGCGGTATGCCGAATACTGGCAGGGATTGGCTGGAGAAACCCTGGAGCAGCAGCTGGAGAGCAAGTCCCGTCTTAACACTCAGTTGGCCCGCAATGTGATGCTGTTCATTGGAGACGGTATGTCCATACCGACGATCACGGCCGGCAGGGTGTATCTTGGTGGCGAGGAGAAGCAGTTCGCCTTCGAGCAGTTCCCGTACGTGGGTCTCAGCAAAACCTATTGTGCCAACATGCAGGTAGCCGACTCCGCCTGCACGGCAACCGCCTATCTGGGCGGAGTCAAGGCCAACTACGGAACGGTGGGTGTGACCGCGGCTGTGCAGTTCAAGGATTGCCAAGCTCAGGCACAGCCTGCAAACCGTGTGGCCTCCATCGCGGCATGGGCTCAGAGCCAAGGAATGGCCACTGGCTTGGTGACAACCACCTCTGTTACCCACGCCTCTCCTGCTGGCGTCTACGCCCACATTGCCAACCGAAACTGGGAGAACGATGCTGAGGTTCTCGCTGATAATGGCGACCCAACTCTCTGCCCAGACGCAGCCTATCAGCTCATCAACAGTCCCGTGGGTCAAAAGCTCAGTGTGATCCTAGGCGGAGGTCGCGAGAATTTCCTGCCTAAGAGTGTGAACGACGTCAATGGAGCACCTGGTCGTAGGCTTGACGGACGGAACCTCATCGAGGAGTGGAAAAGCCAGCACACCAACAGCGCTCATTACGTGGAAAACCGAAAAGATCTGCTGAAACTTTCGAACCGCACCTCCAGAGTTCTGGGCTTGTTTGCCCCCTACCACATGGCCTATCATCTGGATGCCAATCCGACCGAGCAGCCCACGCTGGACGAGATGGTTCAAGTGGCCATGGACGTTCTGGAGCGCCAGAGTGCAGGACGAGGCTACTTCCTGTTCGTGGAAGGAGGACGCATTGATCATGGACACCATGACACGCTGGCACTGAGGGCAATCGACGAGACGGCAGAGTTCGACAAAGCAGTAAGGTATGCCAGGAGCCACACCAGCACCGACGACACCCTTATCGTAGTCAGCTCGGACCACTCTCACACCATGTCACTGGCGGGCTACTCCAGCCGAAAGAACGACATCTTCGGGATCAACGACGGCCAGCTGGCGGCGGATGATCTTCCTTACGCCACCTTAAGCTATGCCAACGGACCGGGCTACGACACCAACTACTTGAGGGAAGAAGGAGCTGTCAAGCGAAAGAATCTGCGTTCTATCAACATGAAGAACAAGGACTTTATGTTCCCCAGCACTGTGCCCCTGGAGTCAGAGACCCACGGTGGTGATGATGTTGCTGTCTTCGCCAGCGGACCTTACGCCCAGCTCTTCTCCGGCGTGTATGAACAGCACTTCATCCCGCACGCCCTCGCCTACGCCTCCTGCCTCAGCGAGAGGAGTATGTGTGCGGATGGGGGCGTGGCAAGACGACCCCGCTAAGACCTGATAGGGTTCAAGCTGAAATCCTCAGGATTCACTGTATTATTCTCGATCCAGAGAGCAAATACTAGATTAAGTAACAATTTGAGGGCGGGTAAAATAATCATTATTATGTTTATTTTCATAGTTTTATTAATAATATTAATAAGGTATTAATATTATGATAAGGTCTATTTGATTTTTATAAAAAAATATGGAGAATGTGCTTTGAGAATTTTCGAGACTTTTCTTTTGATAATTTTTGAAGTTCGAATCCGAAAAAGTGTGCTATGAAATCTTTGATAACTCTATCAGGCGTGAAAGTAAATATTTACCATATGAACTTTTTGTAAACTCCCAACATGTTTACATTTTCTTGTAAACAATAAAAACAGACACAATTTAGGTTGTTCAATTAGTTTTCTCTAATTATCACTCAATAATATAATTTATAAAAGCTACTTAGCTTTTAAAAGAATTCAAAAGGCTAATAGTTTCTTTTCTATAAAACTCTTGCTTTCTTTTAAACTTTTTGGCAAATTTAGCAAATCTTTATACAAATATTCTCTGGTAACTAAGTATTACAAATTATTACATATATCCAGAACCTACCATAAAAAAATTAAAGTAAAATTAAAAATTTTTTTTTAAAAAAGTTGATGACTTGTTTCTCGATAAAAAATGGCGCCTGTGAAACGCAGATTTGAACCGGTTCTGATTGATATACAAATGGGTGGCTAATAAAATATCTATTTATGTGAAAATAGGCGTAAACTACTGAGTTTAAATTTAAAATTTCTATGTATATTTCTTGAGCTCTTTTTTTATTTAACTTTCCCAGAACCGGGAAATTAATAACCTCTCCGATAACCGATAGAAAAATACCGCTTTCGAAAATACTGAAATCTGATTAGTTCTGGTCACACCAGCTGAGCACAACAACAAATCGTCACAACAAAAAGCAGAATCCAAGTGTTGAAAATAGAGTCAAAGCCATCGCTGATGAAGGAAATATCCGATTGTTAGTGGTTAAATAAAGTGAGTAATATAAGATGAACAACGATTCGTCACATTTGCGCAGTTAGTAGGCGAGCTGTCAGAATCTGCCAGAGTGGGGGTTCTCGGGTGCGCGTGTGTGTGAGCAACCAGTTTCCCTGGCTGACTTTGTGCTCCCGAGATTCCAATTCTCCATGTGTGTATATGTAATGAAAACAATAACAAATTTGCCCACGCAATGCAAAACTCTTCGGGTTGGCCAAATCCGGGGCATCTGCCGCCGATTTCTGATTACGTTGGTCAGTGCCAGCCATCAGCCATTAGCCACCAGCAACCAGCTTGATTTATTAATAATTATTGCCCAAGTGTGTAGGGGGCGGTGTGTATTGGGGTCTCAATTGTTTTCGTCGTGCGCCAACGTCATTCACCTTGAATCCGGGCAAGGTAAGCGAGCAAAAGTCACTTTTCGGAGTGGATCTCGCCACGCTTCATTTGCGGCACTGATGCGTCTGGATAAAATACTATACAGTATGATATCCATAAGATGATCTAGTCAGTTTCCAGTTAGGAAACTACTTCTAATTTATAAGAAAGTTCGAGTTAGATAAGCTTGTCGTGGTTTCGGTTTCATCAAGCAGGAGGTCTGATAATTACTTTTATTAGTTCCCACACATAACACGTCGCCAAGACATTTATATAGCCATCGATGGCTTATCAGCCACTGTTGGACTTCCAAAGATAACCGAATCAGTTCAGTTTACCTTATAACCCAAACAAATTTATTATAAATACCACAACCTCAGTGACTAATTTCCCAGCCTCTCGATCTCTGCCAAGTTGGGCCGACGTCCCCTTGCCCGAATCTGCCTAATTAATTCACAAACAACCTAAAAACAATGGATGCAATAGAGCACCATGGGTGCAAGACCTTTAAACTGATTAATCGTCAATTTTGATCCACTCACACAACTGCAGATCTAAATAATGTCTATTAATTATTGTTGCTCGCCGGCGATCAAAGTTTCGCGAACAACGTTGTTTTTTCTCTTTCCTCTGCATTGTGATTTCTGCTTTTTATTTTAGTTTGTTTCTTTCAGTTGTCTTTCCCTGTCAGCTTGTGCAAAATACGGCGGGGATTCACGACCACGATAAATGATTAAACGGCGTGGATTTAAAATTTTATTACACAATATCCCCACTTTCTCGGTCAGTCGCTACCATTCGCTCTTTATCGAGCCACTTCGATTGAACTTTGCTACGTTTGGGGAAAGTCTTTCGTTCCTTCGTCGTTTAGGTAGATAAGCTTTATAATCAAAACGATCAGCTGTGACATGAACACGCTTTTATTTGCTTCGAAAGTCAATGGATTTCTCGTAAATATATACATAAGTAGATTGTGCGTCTCAAATTAATAATAAAATACTAAAGGAATGCTTTTCATAAAAGTTATGCGACTTACAAGATTGGTTCTAACCAATGCAGTTAGGTTGTAACTAAACATAAATAGAAGACTGCCTAGGTGCAACAAATTCAAAGAAAACTTCTTGAATTTTGGGAGGAAAATAAACAAATTTCCGAACTGATGAGAGATTCTCTCGGTGACTCACAGCAGCATTCCACTGTAGGCGAATAATTTCTCTCTGACTAAAGCTTATTTCTATTCAGTATATTATCCCATCATCGGTATGGTCTCCAGCTGCGGCAAGTAGGGAGGCAGGGTGTCTAATCCGCCCGCAACCCGATCGAAGCTGAGAGCATGGCGAGGTGAGGTCATGAGCTGACGTGCTCCGAAAGCCACGTCCTCGCAACTGCTGCGCTCACTCGGCTCCAACTGCCAGCAGTTGAGTAAGAGCTGGTAGAGATCTCCATAGACATACGCTGGCTGAGCGGGACGAACTCCTGCCCGGATGGCCTCGAGCAGCTGATGGTTATTGGCCACGACGTTAGCATAGGGCGTTCCACCCAGGGAGCAGCACTCCCAGGCCACGCAGGCCAGCGACCACACGTCCGATCGCACAGAATGGTTCTGTTGGTGGCGCAGTACCTCCGGCGCTAGCCACCTACTATGATCCCCTTGTTGGCGACTGCTGTTCATGTACTGAAGTGGCCCAAAGACGCTCAGCTTCAGCTTGGATTCATTTGTTACGAAAACACTGTGCGAGCAGAGCTGTCGATGCACCACCTGGCAGTTGACCAAATAGAACATGGCGCTGGCCAGCTCATAGATCCACTGCAGCAGCAGCTGCTCCGAGAGAGATGTCAAACGTGGCGAAGGCGCCATCAACCGGCTTTCCACCAACCGCCTTTTGAGGCTCACGCGCTGATGCTCAAAGACCAGGTAGAACCAGTCGAGACTTGCAGAAACTCCGTAGAAATCTAATAGGTGTTCCTGCCGGTTGAGGTACGACAGCTGCCGCAGTTCCCTCAGCAATTGCGCCTGTGTAGTACCATTCAGTTCATCCAAGGAGAGTACATGCAGGGCGCATTCTTTTGCTGCTTCATTGGATAGCACCTTTCCAGTAATAATTTCTCCGAAGCTTCCATCTCCGATCACATCGTTGACATTTAAGCGGAGAGCGTTTCTGGGAATCCTCTCAAACCCCTCCACAAGCTGTTGGAGCTGCTGTTTGAAATTTTCTGGCGAGTGGGGCAGTGGTTCGTCCTCGACCAAGTATCCATTATTTTCTCTTTCGATTATTGGCGTTTGCAGAGTCATCTCGTGGCCATTCCGACCCGTCAACCGCCTTCCCCGGCAGGTCTTGTAACGCAGATAGAAGTAAGCAATAAGGCTCAGTAACAGGCATATTCCAAAAATCACGCATGTTACAGCTAGGGCCACCACCGAGGACTGACCTTTATCGAAGGTAGCATAGCTGAAGTCGTCCAGGGATGTGACATGCTGATCGTGGGTTCCGCGGGTATACAGAGTCTTGGTAATGCCATCCAGGGTGCTTACCTGGATGAGTTATTGGATGAGTTGCTTGTTAAAAATAAATATAATTCATTTTCTGGATAGTTACCACTCCCAAGCTAATGTGAACATGAGCTCCCGCCTGGTCTAAGGGGGCATTTTGAAAGCGTCCATACCACTTGGCGTCCCCAACTTTAAAACGACGGGTGCGATTATCTTCCGGTCGGTCGTAGTCCAGCTCTGCGGCTATATAATAGGACACTCCGTACTGCTGTGCTTGCTTCCAGCTTCCCAGGAGCTGTGAGTCAAATGGCTGGCTCAGAGAATCATCCACATACTCCACGATGATTAGCACTTGGGAAACGGGGCCGTTGTCATTCCGAATGGGCGATATCTCTACATCCATTGTTTTGCCAGCCTGACCAAGGACTTTTGGTTGTCCCGGAGGAGGACTGGGCACTCCCACCTTAAATTATCAAATATTTAGAATTTTAAATCAAGTTAACTAGCATTGTGTACCTCAGTGTTGGCTTCCACCGAGGCCTGACCGCATTCAGTCTGATCCATCTGCTTCTCGCTGCAAATAGCTCGAACGGAAACGTTGTACAGCGTGGCCGGGTGCAGATCCGTGACCTCGAACCGGGTCTCTGTGCTCTGGACCAGAAACTCGGGCTGAGGAAAAGCTGGCAAGGAAGAGTACGTCCTTACGACGTTAGCGCGTATCAGAAACTTTTCAATCTTTCGCTCGGGCAGCAAAGCTTCCGCCGCGCCGGCAAGGAGGAGCTTCTTGGATTCATATGCGTCCCAGACGACGGTTAGGCTGTTCTCGCTACGATTAGCCACTCGTAGGTGGTGTGGAGCGGGCTGCTTGGTCAGCGTGGTGGAGTAGTACGAGTGGACACCCACTCCCCCGCAGTACTGAGCCTTATTGGCCAAACAGCGAATGCTGCAGAGCATCTCATCCTGCTGATCATCCGGTACCAGGGCATCGGCACAGAAGCACTTCTCCGAAACCAGAACCGCGTAGCGATGCTTCACGTGCTCGCAGATTTCGATGCACGTCCGGGGTTCCTTGGCGTAGACTGACTCCCGGAGCAAGTCCGTGCGGGCAGTGTAGCAGCCCACGTAGTAGTACACGGGGTTTTCTTCGGGAACCGAAACAACTATTGGCAGAATAAAAGCTAAGGCCACGAGGCAAGCTAACAAATGGCTTGGTGGAACTGGGCGGTGTCCGCTTCCAAAACCGCGCGCTCCCAGCTGCATGGCGTACAAATGGCGAGTGAAGAACAAAATCCCTCCGGTCTGGGCAGACGGCATCCGCCTTGATTGGGGCTAATTAAACACTTTTTCACGGGCACCCTATTTAGGCAAATTAAACATTTATTCTTCTATCCCGCTTAACATTATTTTCAAGCGCAGCTCGGAACACAATGTGCTGGTGAGTCTTCTTCTTCCCATTTATTCTTCGACCTCTTTGTTGTTGCTGTTGCTCTCGGCAACGGGTGTTCCGTTGACTAATCGAACACTCACAACTGTTGCTGTTACTCTCCAATATTCTTGTTTACATCGCCCCCAAAGGCAAGGTGTACTGAGAGTAAGCAGGACCACATGTGTGTCGGCATTATCTCTTGATCGCGACAATATATGACTATACTGCTTTCACAGCTGTCTGGCAAGCCGAGCTCCAGATAGCATTGCTACCTGCCGGTATTGCCAGGTATCTCGAGTATTTTCGTATTTGAAATTTATGAATCAGCCCGCCAAAGTCATCGTGCCAAGAGCCCTCGACCGAAATGTCCAATTTAATTATGTGGCACTGTGTTAATTGGGCCGATGCTGCTTTCTAACGTTGCTGCATCTGTTGCTGCCCCATAATCTCTCTCTGAATAAATATTGAATGTATTTCTCTTTTTCATAATGCCATGTGGGCAGAGGAATAAAACAATAGCGGATCTCTTGAGGTAAAATATATTATTTTAAATAAATATTTAGACTTTATTGTTTTTATTGTTATTAATTAGCAACAATAATGAAAGCTTTAACAACTATAAACCTGAAAAATCGATACTAAATAGATCCGTCCCTGGAACTAGACTCTCTATCTTTCTCGCCGGCCCGATCGGCACTCTATTCTCTCCTCCATTGACTAAGCCAGAGGTGACTTGGTTGTTGTTGGTGCAGTTTGATTTGGTTGACAGTCGCGCTGGTCGCTGGTCGTGTCGCTGCTGCTGGTTCCGAATCCAATTCATTTCAATTAAACGCAGCACATAGAGCAACATAGTTTACCTTTTTCGGCCGATAATCGCGTGTCGGACGTTGTTCAAGCTGATCTCCCGCGGTGGGAGTTGTTGTTGTTGTTCCATTAGTGGTACGTGGTACGTGGATTGGTGTGCTCTTCTTTGTTTTGGCTGCTTGGCTGCGCTTCCAATTAGAATTCAAGTCACCAGTGGTCAACTGCGTATCGCGACAAAAGTTGTCGACGTCATCACGGCACAGCTAACGAAATTAATTTTAATGTGCCGCGAATGTACTTTCAATTGTGTAGAATTGTGTTGACCCTGTTTGGGAACCTTTTAAGAAAGATACATATAGAGACTACGTTTTATAGTTTTTGTCGAACATCGAACAAATCATATCCATTCGCTGAGATTTCCTCTGTAACATTAAGAATGTGTGTAACTTTCTTCTGACCTACAACAGGTTTTTATTATTGATGGGATGTGATATACACACATTTTTGTTATGAGTGGTTTTGTTTTGGAAATATCCATTTTCCCCCCAGATATTTTCATCATACTTCCATCAATTTTCAATTATTGGTTATAGCCCCATACATATAGCCCCACGCACCTGAACAATTCGCTTACATGCCGGGCCGAAAACCGCGGAGCAGCGCATGGGTTGGATTTATTTTTGGCCGCCTCTCATAATTGCAGGCCGCCGCTCGTGTCTTGTTTTGTGCCAAAATTAAATGAACTCGCCGAGTGGCAGGCAGCTTGCGCAATTAACCGTTAGCCCGGTCTCCGCTCTTCACGGAAATGGAAAATTTTCGGAAAGTGAGAGATCACAGTAGGCAGTATTTTAAATTTTTATTACATTTTTCTGACATTTCTAATTTCAGTTCAGTTACACGAAATCCTTAAACAGCAACACACTTGAAAGACACTAAAAGACTATTTCTAAACATACAAAAATACACTAGAACGCTGGGCTTGAGGAAAGGTGGTCAGGACACACGGCGTGGATTCCAGAATGGTTGGATCGGCAGTGCAGGTGATCAATGCCTCCGAGGAGCATACCTTTGTGCTCAACGAGGAGGCACTGAGTGAGGTGCTGATGCGCGAGGAAGTTAAGGACCGGTATGTCTGCGTCGTCTCGGTGGCTGGAGCATTCCGAAAAGGAAAGAGCTTCCTTCTGGACTTCTTCCTTCGGTACATGTACTCAAAGGTATACTCAAAGTTGTCCAATAAAAGCCACGCTTTTATCTAAACAATTCTTTTTTATTCCAGTATGTGCATCAAGACGCGACAGATTGGCTGGGTGACGAGTCCAAGCCCTTGGAGGGCTTCTCATGGCGCGGCGGATCGGAGCGCGACACCACAGGCATCCTGATGTGGTCGGATGTGTTCCTCCACGATTACCCCAATGGGGACAAAATAGCCATCATTCTGCTGGACACACAGGGTGCATTCGACAGTCAGAGTACAGTGCGAGACTGTGCGACTGTGTTTGCACTGAGCACAATGCTGTCATCGGTGCAAATCTACAATTTGTCACAGAATATCCAAGAGGATGACTTGCAGCATTTGCAACTTTTCACGGAGTACGGCCGCCTCGCACTGGCAGATACCGGTAAGAAACCGTTCCAGCGCCTCCAATTCCTCGTCCGTGACTGGAGTTTTCCCTACGAGGCCGAATATGGAGCACTCGGTGGCGATAAGATCCTGAAGAGGCGTCTTGAGGTTTCTGACAAACAGCACCCAGAACTGCAATCGCTGCGCCGCCACATCTCATCATGCTTCACCGAAGTGGCCTGCTTCTTGATGCCCCATCCGGGCCTGAATGTCGCAACCAATCCCCAATTTGACGGCAGACTCACGGACATAACGCCCGAGTTCAAAGGCAGCCTGCGCACCTTGGTCCCAATGCTGCTGGCGCCTGATAACCTGGTCTACAAGGAAATCAGCGGCCAGCGTGTGCGGGCCCGGGATCTCATCCAGTACTTCCAGTCCTATATGAGCATCTACAAAGGCAACGAGCTGCCCGAGCCGAAGAGCATGCTTGTTGCCACCGCAGAGGCGAATCACTTAACCGCCGTAGCCGCCGCCAAGGAGCTGTATCAGCAGCTCATGGAGGAAGTATGCGGCGGCACGCGGCCGTACTTAAGCACCGCCCATTTGGAGACAGAGCATTTGCGTGTTAAGGACAAGGCTCTGTTCCAGTTCGCTACCAAGCGAAAGATGGGCGGCGAGGAGTTCACTGAGAAGTACCGGGTCCAACTGGAAGAAGATCTCGAGGAGGTATTTAACAATTACCGGGCGCACAATGAGAGCAAAAATATATTCAAGGCCGCTCGGACGCCTGCCGTCTATTTCGCCTGTGCCGTCATCATGTACATCCTAAGCGGCATCTTTGGTCTGCTGGGCATGTACACGTTTGCCAACTTCAGCAACCTTGTGATGGGAGTGGCGTTGCTAACGCTAGCTCTGTGGGCATACATCCGGTAAGTTTACAAAAATAAATTATTGTTAAAAAAAACATTAAAACTTACCCCCACTTCTCCTTTACAGATACAGTGGAGAGCTGAGCGACTTTGGTGGCAAGCTGGACGACTTCGCAACGTTAATGTGGGAAAATGTAAGTCATGTCAAACATTTCATGTTCCATAGCCTACTATTCCAAATTTAAATTTCAGTTTATGCGACCCATCTACCAGGGTTGCATGGAGAAGGGAATCCAACATGTGGCAACTCATGCCACCGAGATGGCTGTGGGCGGTGGAGCTGCCGGTTACCGATCGCAGACATCGGTGAATGCGGCCAACGGCAAGGCGAAGCGTTCATGAGAATACGCCCAAGGAGCGCAGCACAAGACGCAACAGCAGGTGCCGCCGGCAATAAACAATAACAACAACAACAATAACATCAACAACAATGTGGCATACAAATCAAACGGAAGCGGCAACACCAATGAAGCACAGGGTTTCTTGCAAAATATCTGGCGGAAGTTCAACAGCAGCGAATCAAAGGCCAAAGCCAATCCCACATCCGTTTCCCAGCCGGCCAACAGTCGCAAGAAGCGCAAACCGAAGCGCAACTAAGCGTCCCAGGACCACTAGAATAACGTCCCATTTTTCAAGGACTGCCCTTCTAATTTGTATAAACCGATAAATTTCTAAAGTGAAAATCACAAAAGTCTAGCTATTAATTACCTAAAAAGGAAGTTGTTTTTATATTGCATTATTTAAAGTGCAGTTGGTCTACATTAAATATATTTAGTAAGAGTAAGTGCATCATTAGTAAGTGGCTTGTATCTGTTGAGAAGTGAATTTTAAATTGTTTTTTTACATATTCATAATGAAAGTAACGCTGTAATATAAAACAAAACGCTAACGAATTTAATTTGTTTAATTCTAATTCTTCTAATCCCTTGCCTTTTCACCTAATCACCACTTTGGTATAGAATTCCATAAGCAATCTATGTATAAACGGAATGCACATTGTTGTTGGCTGGTTTTGCTAATCGCCTCATTTTGCCACATTTTGTTACTAAATTTAGTTGCACGACAAAATTAAGATGAAAATTAAGAAATCATTGCCACCCATTAAAGTTAGACACAGAAGCGCAATGCTGGTATAGGTCATTAGTTTATCTTGTGCAGTAAATGTAAACTAAACAATAAATCTTTGGGTATGACGACGGCTCATCGATAAATAAACGGTGCGAAAATGCATGTTTCATTCTTTGGCAGTGATTGGGGTATGGATGATTTCAATTTTTGCTGCCGCAACACTTTCCTTTGGCGTCACCTCCTGCCGAGTTGGCCGCCTTGCAACATCCACCGGCGGAGGAGGACCCCGCTGATTGATTGCAACCACATTTTCCAGGCGTCTGGCATTTGCAGTTTTCACAGCACTTTTCCGGGGTGCATTTGCAATCTGAAAAATGAGACATTCCCTGTATTAGTTCAATTGGATTGGATACTAATTCTCAATCTGTTTCAGATACAGATACAGCTGTATTTCATGGATTTTAATATTCTTCACAAAACACTTGCCTTTTTCGCAACCAACACACGGCATTGTTTCAGTTTTGTCTTTTCTTCGAAAGCGTATACGTAATTTTAAACCGACAGACGGATATTTAGGGGTGACACTCGTCCGGAATTTGGCATTTAATCCAGCGCATGCGTCTGTTAGAGTCGTCCGGAATAGAACACTTGACCCGCGCCAGCAACAAGTTGAATAAAATTCGAAACTTTTTTTTTAAATTACATATCATTTAAACTTATTATTCTCATGATTTGTGTGTGTTGCAATTTGTTTTTGTGTTTTTTTAAATTTATTTTGTTTTTCAACATTACATTCCGTGGTTTTCGATCTTTACTGTAGGGGGTTTTTGGGCTTAAACCTAACATAATGCGCCACCCTTCTGGGCTGGGCTGGCCAGTTATTTATAATTTTTGTCCTGTTGTGTTTCACTTGGGACAACAACTCTCTACAATCCTTAAGCACTAAAAATTACAATTTATCCCTAGTGGACTTGAACTAAAAACTCAATCGATTGGTTGCGTTATGCAATTTACATTGAAAATGATTATGACATATTTTAACACATCCAATATTTAAAAAGGTTTTGTTACTTTCTAATATAATAATATCTGTTCTTCACTTCTAACATATCGTGTTTATCGTGTACGGTGCGTGGGGGAGGAGGATGGGCGTGAAAAATAAGTAACCAAGTGTTCTTAGCATCCTTTTACAAATGATACTTAATGAATCTAATACAACATATATAGATATTAGCGTCTCGTAAGCCGTTTCATTGATCTCATTCTTCAACTGCTCTCGTTTAAACACATAATTTGTAGTATAATGCTGCCTCTAATTCTCACATCATCACCGATTCGCGATTATAGTTCCTTTTTCATTTTTTTGGCATAACAAATGTGTTCCATTGGATCGTTTAAACTTTTCTCTTAACTAACCATTCGAAAGGGATCGTTTACGGTAGCTGGTCTGTGGGAGGTTGCGTGCTTGGAAGTCTTACATTAAATACATTTATCGCTCTATATATTGAATATATGTATGTATCGGTCGGGTATGTTGAATGGGATTCTGTTACAGTGCTATTTTATGTTTACTTTTTTGTTTAAGATGTTGCTAGGCTAAGCTTAACTAAGAATCTATCAGCCCCAACTCCATTCCCCCAGCATGCTTCTTTTCATATCCAGCTGCTTAGCTCCAAGGGGGGAAATCGGAATCGGGCTATATAGCTTGTATCGCTCATTAGTATGTCTGTGTGGATTTGGGAATTGGATTGCCCCCCAAGTCAACCATTAGCACCAACCTTGGGTTGCCTAAGTGTATCTAACAATGACCTTTGGCCACAAATTCTTACAGATTAGGAGCTCAGCCTTCCTCAGCCCCTGGAACCCACTATCAGTCCAATGGCTTGCCGAAGAACAAAATGCTGAGCAAATCGTTGAATGACAACTAAATCTGTGTCGGACTCGTCGCCTGCGACGTGGATGCAACAGCTGCCGAGGATGCCTGAGTGGGTGCCGTTGCAGATGCATCGCCACTACTCGATGCCGGGGACTCGTCTGGCTGGCTTCCATTTGCAGTCGCCTCGTTTTCCGTCTCCATGCTGGCGACCCTTGCATCGCTCGCCTCAGGCATGGGCTCTGGCGGAGTGGAGGCACCTTTGGGGCGCGCAACTACCTTTGCTGCTGCCACCGCTGATGTCGATGCCTCACTGGATGTCTCCTCGCTGGCTTCTTTGCTCACTCCGGTGCAGGACACATTTAAATCCCGTTTCAGAATAGCGAAAATGCTCTGAATGTACGACTCCATGGTGCTCAGTGTCAGTAGACGCTTCTCGCGGTCTTCATTCAGGCGATCCTGTGCCGTCTTCTTGTTGGCCGCCTTCTTGTTACGCTTCGGCGTTGGTTCCAGCTCGTCCTCAAGCTCTGTTTCGTCGTCCGATGAGGGAATCGAGGTCTTTTCCATCTGCTCATCCTCGCTGCCGGCTGGCGTAGGTGGCTTAACGGTGGCTTCTGCATCTGGCTGATTACTGCTGCCGCTGGGTTCTTCCATGGATACATCCGTCGGCTTGTCTGAACTTTCACCTTCAGACTGCATAAGATCTTTCTCCTTTTCCTTTTCCTTAAGGGGATCACGCTTCTGCTTTTTGTTGGGAAATTGATCTGCAAAAAGGATTCAAAATTAGCAATCTATTTGGGTTTTGGTCTGAGGATGTAAGGATTACCTCGCTCTGCCTCTTTTCTGAATCTCTCGCTCTTATTTTGAAGAGCCCTTAGGGATCCGCGAAGTTCCTTTCGCACTGACGCTGGCACTCCAGTAGCTTGAGCAATGATACGGATCGCGAACAGATCACCACACAACTCGTCTATGTCGTCCTTGGAGTGCATGCCATAGTTTATCGTGTAGATCATGCGCGCTACAGGCAGCTGGGAGGCCACCTTGTGGTAGTAGAGTTCGAGGAACTCGCGTACGCATGCATCCTTCAACATACTCCGCTCATCCCGCAGAACATTGTGTAAGTATTCCACCAGCAGTTGGTTCTTAACCAGTAGGTCAACATATCTGGAAAGGATTATGGAGTAAAGTTAATAAAATAACGAAACCAAACGGAGCTATTACTTACTTGTGCGTGATGGCATTGTTGTGAATGCCCACCCAAAACTTCGGGAAGAAGTTAAAGTGCAGCGGAGTCGACTCGATGGCCACCAAGCAGTGCAGCTTAACCAGGGTATCGTTCAGGGTGCCCGTATTGACGCACATTCGCAACATAACGTCGATAAAGTCATGGTACGGCCTGTAGAATGCCTCAACTTGGGCATCGTATTCCGCATCCAAGCCACGTGGGGTAAGCTCACCCAAGGCTATGCACATCTGGACCATCGGCCGCGGTGGTCTTGGCGAATTCTTAGCCCCTAATGGCCACGGCGAGTGCTTTGCACCGCGACGTGGAAAATAGGGTCCCAAGGGGCCAATGGCATTGGGAGCGTTCGCGACCGAGAGGTGACAATTGATCAGAATGGGTGCCAATATGCTCGTAGCCTCTAGACTGGTGTTGCGCACCAGTTCCTTGAGCACCTCCAGCGCCATGCGGCTTATCTCTGGGGAGTTGAATGTGTTCAAGAGAGTCGCCAACCGCTTGACTGCATCCGGCAAAGCCTTGGCCAATGCGGAGTGCTGATGCTGCTGGCGCAGGAAATGCTGCTGCTGGAGCTGCATCTGCTGCAACTGTTGCAGTTGCAGGTGCTGCTGCATTTGTTGCTGCAACTGCTTCTCCTTCTGCTGAGGCGTCTGCGGGGCTTGGGACTGCGACTGCGCCTGCTGCTGCTGTTTCTGCAGCATCTGTTGTTGTTGCAACTGTAACTGGTGTTCCAGCTGCTGCTGCTGTTGCTTCTTCTGGGCAGGACTATCGGTGCGCGTGCGGAGTGTCGCCAGCAGCAGCAGCATTTCGCCCAGCAGGTCGAAGAGGTCCCCAGCCACATGGCAGGCTGTAGCCTCATGGTGCATGGAATGGAGCGTGTGCAGTGCCTCGAAGCACATTTCAATGCCGCCATTGAAGATCACCAACATACGGTCCTCCTCGTTGTCCACTGAAAATATATGATAGATTAATATGTATACTCTAAAATTTAATATGTATGTAATCTGAAAATTTATTTGTTCCTAGATTTTGATGCAGATCGATGGAGAATCGATCTACAAATCGTTTAAGGTATTCCCCGCAAGAATCTGATAATTATTACTTAAGATATAGCAATCGCTGTGGAGCCTATTAGGGCCTTCATGCATTTTCCCCATTTTTTAAGGGGATCCTTTGGATATCCCTTTTTGAAGGTGAAAAAATAAAAAAAAATGCTTACCAAGTATCTTGAGAGCATTGATCAGTGTTGACCAGGAAACTCGAGCATCCAAGCTGCTGGTGTACGCCACAATTACTGCTCTTCGGAATTGGGTGACATCGAGCTTCTCCTGCTCACTGGCGTCCGGATGACGAGTCGCAAAAAGAGCCATCAACTTGAAGAGCTCGTCCACGGCAGAGGCGTACTGGGTAGGATGTGGAGTGATATTTTTGAATGCCCACTGCAGGTTCTGGTGCTGGGATAACTGACGGGTCAAGGCTCGGCTCTGCTCGCAGCACAGTCGCAGTAATCCGTAGTAGGCGGGCAGCATAGATCGGTTGTAGGTGACTATTTCCGCATCGTCATGGTCGGCCCTGAAGAACAGTGAGTTTTGGATTAATTCTTCTACTATTTGAAACCCCATAGACTTCTTACAGAATATAGTTAAATGCAATATTGCGCGTTATTTCCGGACAGTTGGCAACTTGGGCAGCATTCTCCGGACAGTCTACAAGCGAATGGTGCCAGAATGTCAGAAGTGCGTGCTTGTTGTGATGGGCCGGAACACTTGGCTCCGAGAGGCGCGGGTGGAACAGCTCCCACAAGGAGCGCATGAACGGTCCTATCTGTAAACGATTAGGCAAGTACCTCCCATTATATCACATTTAAGTAGTTTTTGTAAAAATGCTGTCAAACTTGCCATTAGTTTTTCAGTCTTTGAAACCATACAGTAGCTGAGCAGGTTGAAATAGGCGGTTAGCTTGGTGGTACCATGAGCAGTAATGTCTGCATAGACCCTTGCTGGTCGGAGCAGGCGCAGGAGAAGGTTGATAACCTGGTGCAGGACCGTCTGGGCATCACTGTTGATGTCCCTTTAAGAAGAACTTGTGATGCAAATATTCATAAAACCCTAACAAATTACGTACCGGTAGCTGTGCGGATTAAGGGCCAGGAGCTTGTGCTGTGAGTGGGCTCTAAAGTTGGCCCTGAAAGGCTGCGATGGTACGAGAGCCACCAGCAGAAAGGCGGCAGCTACGCCAAGAAACACACATGTTTTAAATCAAACCATATA